CCCGCCCTTGCCGGGTCTCCCGCTGCACTCGATTTAGCGATAGCAGGAAGGTGATCGAATGTCGCTTTGGGAAACTCGGCCGAAGCATCGCCGGCGAGGCTCTGCGACACCCACTCCTGAAGAGAGACGTGATATGGCCACAGCTTGGGGGGAGGAAGGCTATGACAAAAAGGCCTGCGCTGCGCTCATGTCTCAGGGATTGTGCCCTGACAATGCTGAGACTGTCAAAGTTTTGGAGGCGCTTCATCCCCGCGGGTCGCGCCCTGCCACCAGGCCTCTGCAAGAGCTGCCTCTTGCTCCTGAGGTTGCGCCTGAAGTGGTGTCTCGCTGCTTGCGTGACCCATCGCGCCAGGGCAGGAAAGCGGCTGGCCGCCTCGCTCAGCACTACTTCCCGGCTCACGCAGTTGAAGGCGTTGGCAAAGTCCAACTTGACCAATTTTTTTGTTGAAGAGCCGGCGTGGCGGTCAGTCCAGGCACGCCAGGCATGAACGCTTCACTGCGAACCATACTCATCAGGCACTTACCAGTAAGCCGGCGCAGGAGCTCCCCTACGGCAATGGGACGGATGCCCCCACTCGGCTTGGGCAATGCCACCAGGCCAGCCCCAGCTAGCACAGGCGCGACACAGGATAAAGCACGTCCTTGGGCTAGAACATTGACCACGGCAGTGAGTTGTGACATCAATGCATCATGCCCGCTAGGGATTCAGGCCTCCCGCAAGTGCTGCACACGGAGGCCAGTGGGCCCCGGGGCCGTTCAGCGGGGAAGGCACGCTGGCAGGTGACATTTCCGCCGTCGCAGCTGCCTTGGCGTTGGTCCGACCGCGGGCTTCTGCAATTGGCTTGCGCCTCAATTTGCAAAAGTGCGAGCTTCCCAGCCACCCTGCTTTGCAACCCAGATGGAACTGGGAGAATCCTCAAGAACTTTGAGTTTTTGGGGGCCGCTTTCAGCGACGATGCCTTCATTCAGGCTCACACTGAGGCCCGGGTTGGGAAGGCTGGCGTGCTGCTGGAGGCGCTTGCTGAGCTGGAAGATCCCCAGGTCGGGCTTCGCCTTCCGGCATGTGCTGGCCTCTGCCGGATGGTCCACAGCACGCGTTGCAACCCGCCTGCCACTCAGGCTGCTGCTCTAGCCCATTTTGATGGGCTAGTACAACAATGCTTTGGTGGGCTAACAGGCATCCATGTGACTGCTGAACAATGGCGCCAAGCTTCTCGAGGGCTGGCGCACGCAGGGTTGGGGCTGCGCTCATGCCTCACGCGTGCGCCACTTGACCCCGGCTTCTCGGCAGCCGCGGTGCGAGCCTCATACCAGGTGGCTACAGCTCTTCACACTCTCCAAGGCACTGTGGGCGCTCAGATTGCCACGCGGACTCTGCTTGTTGGGTGGCCCAACTTGGCCGCAGCAGCCCCGTTGCTCAAGCTGTCCTTCACTCCGAAGCTGGTGTGGGGGCCCGAGCCTTCCTCAATGCCATGCCCTCTGGACGCACCCGTATGGAGCCAGCTGCCTTCTGCGCGTCCGGCTGGGTGTGCCTGAAGCCCTTAGCGACTGCTGGTGCCCACTTTGTGATGGGGTGTTGGACCGCTGGGGCTATCATGCTGGCATGTGCGTGGCAGGTGGCGAACGCACCTTGAGACACAAAGCCTTGCGTGACCTGGTGTGCTCCTGGGCCGATCGTGCTGGGCTTCGA